ACAATCTTTCGTATAAAATTAAATTAATGTACGATTTGTTTTAAACTGCATTTGTTACGAAGTTACTCTGTATAAAATTGTTTTAATGTATCATATTTTTCAAGCGTGACCTACTTAAAAACAGTGCAGTGACTTATGGCCACTCAGACTACTATATCCTTCGGTACATTTTCTTTGCTACGCTACCTACACTCTCCATAATAAAAGTGACAAAGAGCATGTCGTGTAACAAGAAAATGTGACAATAACGTTTGCACAGTTAAAATACAGCTATACTAAAAGCAGATGCGTGTTTTGATTGCAAAGAGAACGAATTTAATACTATAAAACAGGATATAATTTTTTAATTTCAGTTTCAAGAGTAGTAGATAAACAAAAAGCCAACTGAATACTCAAAGAACATGTAGAGAAATACTTTGAACTCAGGTTCCATTGAAATGGTGTTTGCACGATAGTCTAACGAATCGAGTCATTTTCACCGGATCGCAGTTTTATTGACAAGCGTTGATTAACTCTCTTTTCGTCCCTTAGTAAGGGAAAGAGGAGGACTATCATCGGATAGTAGCCGACGCGACGACGAAATTACCGCGAAATTTTCGTGCGACGTGGCACGCCGGCCCCGGGTCGTTAAGGCGTGCAATTAAGGCAAGAGCGATGGCTGAACCTCTTCTCCTCCAGCCCTTCCTCGCTAATTAGAACCCCTAAATACTAACGAATACCCCGCGTATTATTTATAAGCCGGCCCCGATTACCGCGGCCCGGCGGGACGCGTGCCCCAAATTTATTTACCGTAACGACCGACGAGAAACATTTTTCGACTGTCGTTCGCCCGGTAAAACACGCACTGGCGAATTTTATTGCGGTCGATGTCGGCCCATTTATATTCATTCAACAGTGCCCAGCTGCGTTTCATAGCTGCCCGGATAAAATATGGATGGATTTTAAGAGGGCGCCACGAAACACGGGACGTTCACGGTATCACAGAAGTCGCACTACCGACTCCTGATAATGAAAGCTGTGCAACGCTTTGTTTTATGAGACTCTGTTAGGGAACTATGGTATCAACCATTGTTTCGTATTACCACCGAGGAGTTCTCGTGTAATTGTAATATATTTGGCGCGAAATATTCATGTTTCTTAACAATTTCCATCTTAAAAAATTGTTCCCAATTTGCTCCCATCGTAAATATTATATTTTAATGAGACATTTGCAAATAAAACAGCAACAATTTCAAGCAAGTACTGAATGGTCTTTTTACACAAATATTATACTACAAAAATTATTCCCGATCAGTTTTATAAGATCCAAACCAAAGTCTCGTCGGCTAAATTCTGGTTAACAAATGAACAACTTTATTTTCAATTGCTCCTTGTTAATAAATTATATTTAAAATTGACAAGAAGGCTAGCCAAAAATGCTTGAAATAAAAGTTGTAGGTACTGCTATTACCTACAAAAAACTCATATACAATCCTTTTCTATCTCTAGTAATTCAAGACTAATCGATTGATTAAGTTCGTTCATTGCCAATTATTCCTTAACGAATGGAGTTTGAAGGGAACTGCATAGAACCTTTTTTGTACTATAAAAAATTATCGATTTTTCCGTGCAAACCCATAGAAATGAATACTGCACTCTATCGTGAATTAATTTTATATTGAAACTGAATGAAAATTGAAGAGTCCGTTTTAGAAACTAAGGGATCTCAAAATGCGATTGTCTTTAATGAAGATAGCGATACTAAGCACAATGGATGTTTAATTGGTTCAATTTCATTCAGCTAAATTTTCGATAAGGATACGGTGTGAGAGAATGAATTTTCACCGATTTCCTCGTCCCTCGCTTTGTCGGATTTCCTTCTTTTTCTCAATTCAGCCGTTTCGTCGGCGCGTCGCGCCGCGCCCGTGAAAGAGTAAAAAGGAAATGGAATTCGTAGCCTTCGCTTTTACCCGGGACGGACACGAATAGTAACGAGAGTCCCAGATAATCAAATTAATTGCGACCCGCGTCCCATCTCCCTCTCTCTTCAATGAAATTTTTCTATCTCCTCCCCCTTTTGTCCTACGACTGAGATAACTCGATTCCGTTTGTAGTATCGGCGCCATACGCGCTTTTCACATCACGCGTCCCAATTGTCGCGATCGCTAGTAACTCGATTTCCAATCGTTTGCTTTTCAATTAACTCCGACGAGCTTCATCCCCACGATATTTTCTTTGAAGGTGCTTTTCCCCATGTTATTTAACGCGAATCTATTTACTCGATCAACGATATTCCTTTATGTTCTCTTAATTCTTGTTTTGCATAATATAAAATTACCAATAATGAACTTACTATACATATAGAAGACCTCATCAATATTAAAATTACTATTATTTTTCAATTAATTCCATAATTATTATAGCAAATCGATTTATTCCAACGGTACCTATTCTTAATTATTCTTTAGAAACCAACTAATAGAACAAGTCGAAAGACATAAGTAGTCATCAAACTAAATCATTATAAGAGAAATTTCAATTTAGATTTTAGTTTTCAGGTTGACATCACAAAATTACTAATAAATAATAGATTAAAATTGGCAATTTTACATAAATGATTCCCGTTCTCTCAAACTTTCGGACACTTCCGAATCACCGTAATAACAAACTTCGGGTGGCCAAGTTTTTCCCAATCGTTTGCCACGGGGCAAAGAAACTTCCTGAAACGATTCTACTCAACCTGAATATTCGTCCAATAGTTACCGAAGTCTGTGAACCGGTTTATACGGTAGATAGAAGGCACAGGTAAAGGAACACGGACAACCGTACGAAGGTTCGAGGGAAACGAGCTTTGCGATTCCGTCGCTGTTGTCCGAATCAGCGCGATTTTCATGGTTGGTCGTTCCCGTTGCTCGCGAAACTGCGTCGTCGACCGCCCACGAAACACGGAGGGAAGAGAAAACCGAAGTAGAGAAGACGTTCAACGGCTCGACTAGACTGGCAAACGGCGAACTCGTGGGCACAAATTCGCCGTTGGCCGTAGACCAACAATGTCAATGGCATTTCCGACGCGTTCGCAGAAAATTTGATCCGTCGGAGAACACGTCGCATTGCCTCGCGTCGCGTCAACCTCCGAGGGATATTATACGTAATGCCCGGCAATTAGAACTCCAGACACTCGTCCCGCTTCTTCAACGAGTAATTGCCACGCGCGCACAGGATTATTATCCTGGAATGGTTTCCGCTGACGCATTCGCGTTCCCCGCTTTTAGGATGCTGGACACACGACGCGACGCTTACGTGAACTTCTTTCAAAAGCGTAATTACTACGTGACGCACGTGAAATATCGTTTTCTTTAAACGCGTAACACATTTCCTCGTAGAATATACATGTATTATGTGTTCAATTTGGATAATTTATCAATTATTTTTACACATAAAATAAACACGTCCTGGCTTTAATTTCTAGTATGAATTTTTATATGTATGTCCCATTGAAAGCAATGAGACTTGAGTTCCTAATTGATTTTTAATACCGATTAGCTCGCGTTTTCATTTAAAAGTCCGTATTATTGATGTCAATCACTCACCTCCATGTGAGATTCCGATGCGGCCACTGTTGCCCATGGATCGTGTACCGTTTATGCCTCACCCTGGTGTACCTGGGGTCTGGTTTGTCCGGAAGTCCGCACCGCGGAAGTTTCATTAATTTCATCGTAGCTTCATCGATATCACCGGTTATAGGAACACCGCCGAATCGCTGGGAAAATAAATGAATGAATACTTTTATTCCTGATGCATAAATGTTTCGATTGAAAGTATTAACTCGCGGGTACTAGGCTCCGTTTAAAGTCACGGTGTACATAACCGCATGGTTTCAAATTGGAATTCTGATTTTCAGAAGCATTCAATATGTCTAGTAAAATAATGAAATAGAATCATATTTGACATTTTCATGGGTGTACACTTTTTATGTGGTGCTTGGGTTTCAAATAAAATCTGAATTAAAATCTATAGCCTGCTTTGAACGTGGCTCGTAAAACTATGAGTCATTAAGGCTATACATATACTTAAACAATGCTGGCATGTTGTGAATTTGATATTATACATTCTTATTACTATTAAAAAGCTAGAATTATAGTGATTTCAAATTTTTCATAGGT